GTCCTACAATCCCGTTCACCCCTACTCTATACATTCTATGTCACTGTACATTCTATGCCACTCTATACATTCTATGTCACTCTATATATTCTATGTCACTCTATACATTCTATACATTCTATGTTACCCAATACACTCTATTTGACTCTAGACATTCTATGTCACTCTATACATTCTATGTCACTGTATACGTTCTATGTCACTCTATACATTCTATGTTACTCTGTACATTTTATGTCACTCTGTACCTTCTATGTCACTCTATACCTTCTATGTCACTCTGTACCTTCTATGTCACTCTATACCTTCTATGTCACTCTATACGTTCTATCTCACTCTATACGTTCTATGTCACTCTAGACATTCTATGTCACTATACATTCTATGTCACTCTATGCGCTCTATGTCACTCTATACATTCTATGTCACTCTGTACCTTCTATGTCACTCTGTACCTTCTATGTCATTCTGTACCTTCTATGTCACTCTAGACATTCTATGTCACTCTGTACCTTCTATGTCACTCTATACGTTCTATGTCACTCTGTACCTTCTATGTCACTCTATACGTTCTATGTCACTCTATACGCTCTATGTCACTCTATACGTTCTATGTCACTCTATACGTTCTATGTCACTCTGTACCTTCTATGTCACTCTAGACATTCTATGTCACTCTATACGTTCTATGTCACTTTATACATTCTATGTCACTCTATACGTTCTATGTCACTCTATACACTCTATTCGCCTCTAGACATTCTATGTCACTCTATACATTCTATGTCACTCTGTACGTTCTATGGCACACTATACGTTCTATGTCACTCTATGCGCTCTATGTCACTCTAGACATTCTATGTCACTATACATTCTATGTCACTCTATGCGCTCTATGTCACTCTATACATTCTATGTCACTCTGTACCTTCTATGTCACTCTGTACCTTCTATGTCATTCTGTACCTTCTATGTCACTCTAGACATTCTATGTCACTCTGTACCTTCTATGTCACTCTATACGTTCTATGTCACTCTGTACCTTCTATGTCACTCTATACGTTCTATGTCACTCTATACGCTCTATGTCACTCTATACGTTCTATGTCACTCTATACGTTCTATGTCACTCTGTACCTTCTATGTCACTCTGTACCTTCTATGTCACTCTAGACATTCTATGTCACTCTATACGTTCTATGTCACTTTATACATTCTATGTCACTCTATACGTTCTATGTCACTCTATACACTCTATTCGCCTCTAGACATTCTATGTCACTCTATACATTCTATGTCACTCTGTACGTTCTATGGCACACTATACGTTCTATGTCACTCTATGCGCTCTATGTCACTCTAGACATTCTATGTCACTCTAGACATTCTATGTCACTCTAGACATTCTATGTCACTCTAGACATTCTATGTCACTCTATATATTCTATGTCACTCTAGACATTCTATGTCACTCTAGACATTCTATGTCACTCTAGACATTCTATGTCACTCTAGACATTCTATGTCACTCTATATACTCTATGTCACTCTAGACATTCTATGTCACTCTAGACATTCTATGTCACTCTATATATTCTATGTCACTCTAGACATTCTATGTCACTCTAGACATTCTATGTCACTCTAGACATTCTATGTCACTCTATATATTCTATGTCACTCTGTACCAGTGATCTTCAACTTTTTTGGCCTACCGCTTTCGTATTTTTTCTATTAAAAAATCCTCCAGTGCCCCCCCCCCCCTTTTAAAAGAAAAATACTACCAGAGAAGCGTGAGAAAACAAATTTGAATCAAATGTAAATGTTTAATGCTCACGCTGTTTACAACACATCGTTCATTGTATAATTAAGAAACAAAAAATGTGTCAAATTACATGCAGCGATTACACACATAAATTATTTGTACTGTTCGAATAGTGGAAAGTTTTTAAATTGTTAATGAATATTCTTAAATTAATATTGGCTATCACTAAATGTCCGTGCAGCTGACTTGGTTCCATAACCTCAGTTGAGAATGTTGTCATTTAAACTAGAACATTGAAATACTTCGTTTTTTGGAAATACTTTTTACCAGGGGTGGGGGGGGGGGGGGGCAATACAATGAAACTTTGGGAAGTATAGATATCTGCATACTAGAAATGTCCTCACAATTGGCTTTGTCAATGTTTTCGTTGTTACAAAATGGTCAATTTATTATATTTCAATGTTAGATTAAGCGTTTTATTTTAATTAACATTAACATATTAATATACTAGACAGATATTACCCGCTGCCCGCGGGTCTTAACTCGCGTATTGCTTATATAGTCACTAATATTGTGCATTAAAAACAATTAAAGAAAATAATCTATACTATAATGTTATAAGTAAAGCGAATGCATGAATTCATGAATAAAAAATATTATCAATGGAGCTAAAAATAGCTAATTGACCTGAATTAACGCGATATTAAGAAAAGAGTTGCACTCATGTAAAAATGCTTTAGAAAAACAGATTTGAATGTTACTTTGATTAAAATATGAAATGAATGGACTATAATTAGTATGTTCATGTGTTTAATTATACAAATATCTTTGCGAAGAGAAGTTCTATCATCTTTGATTTTAATTAGAGTTTTAGACCTAGGAATAGAGAGATGTGTAACATTTCACGTAATGTCTAATAAAAGAATGTACCTCAGGAATTCTAACTTCGCAGATATAAGGAACGAATTTATGTAAAAATGCTTTTGAAACAACACACATTTGAAGGTTTATTTTATTATATAATGAAATCAATAGACTATATTTTGTATTTTCATGTGTCAAAGTAAAAAAACTATATGTGCAAAGAGTAGTTCTTAAAATTAGATCTAGATCTAAACGCTTTCGATCTTTTCTCATGTCAACATAGTAAACATAACCTAGATTCATAAAATAGCATACTTTCATAGAGTCGGTCAACTTTTTTTTTTTTTTGAGGGTCTTAAGTTTGTTTTAGGGTTACACTACGGTCTAAGTTAGTACCCAAGGAACATTTCTGCCAAGTTTTAGCAAGATTGGTCAAGCGGTTTTGATTTCTATTCTAAACATACATACACACATACGCCTTACTTTCTACTTTATAATATAGATTACATATATATATATATATATATATATATATATATATATATATATATATATATATATATATATATAACTATAATCTAAAAAGCGTATTATAGTTTGTTTAGATACTCTTCAATTACGCAACAGAGTCAGAATTTAAACCTAGAAAAAGGGAATTCCCGAACTCAATTACTAACGTTTTTTTCTGCATTTAAATGAGAAGTCAGCGAACACACTACTGTGTCTCCAGTTAGTTTGCCAGCGTTAATTTGAAGGAAATGTTTCATTTGTTTGTTTCAGTCGCACCTCTTCTTTCGACTCTACGTCCTCCTATTGTGCCCAGCGCCTCCTACCGCCCCTTTTTGCCCCCAGCGCCCCCCCCCCCCCCCCCCAGTTTCACAAAATCGCTCCCCAGGGGATGCTACCGTCCCCATTTAAGACCGCTTCTCTATACGTCTATATATTGTATGTCTCTATACATTAAGCCTCTATGTCACTCAATATAACTCTGTTTTCTCTGTCACTCGATGTCACTCTATGCATTGTATGTCACCCGATGTCACTCTATGCAATGTATGTTACTCGATGTCAATCTATATCACTCTTTGCATTCTGTGTCACTCTTTTCATTCTATGTCACTCTATATATGATATGTTACTATATTTGTATAATCCTTCAGTTTTCAAACAAATCATCTTACAGGTATAATTCTAGTAGTATTATCAGGGACCAACCATACCACAATCTTTCTTGCTCTTGGCTGTGTGCTGATTGTCCTACCAGTCCTTGTCCTACTTGGTGTCATTGCACTGTGTTTTAACAAGAAACGGCTGCCTTGCAATAAACAGGTTAGTAATTGACGGCGTTTTAATCAGAAACAGTTACCTTGCAATTAACAGGATAGATAGGGCATCTTTGCTCTTGTTTTAACAAAAAAACAACAACAACCTATATTTTTAAAATTAAATGAAGCGCAACGTTTTGCGTTGTTTACGAGAGTGTCGTGGCTGAGTGGTGATACACTTTGATGTGCGTTGTTTACGAGAGTGACTTGGTAGCTGTAAAGAGAGTCAACAGTCCATCAACTTTTATTTTCAGAAACATCAGTCTGCACAAACAATACAAGTAGCAGTGGTGGATACAGGTAGCAGTGACGAATACAGGTAGCAGTAATGGATACAGATCCCATTGATGGATACAGGTAGCAGTATTGGGATATGCTGAAAAAGCACCTATGATTTCCACTTTGTTTTACCATTTTGTACTGTCCTATATCATGAGCCATACACAAGAATCTCATAGTACAAAAGTAAATAGACTAGATACTCGCCTTTCCAGGCTCAAAATATTCTTTTAAAAGTGATTGATTGATTGTCTCAATGGCAGCAGACACATGCTTGTCCTTTACCTAACAAACATGTTTCAAGACAAATTCTCAAAGGTGTCAACAACACTACCATGAGACAATGGATGTTACTCGCGTTTTTTGCTAGCTACTCCCCTCTTCCCCCTCCAAACAAATCATTTCTTCCCTTGTCCCCCAGCATACACAAATTTCACTGTGTTCGTTCTCTAGAAGTTTGTATCCACTACAGAGTTCTCAACGAAGTGGGTTTGTGGGTTAGTAGGACCGTAGAAGTATTGGAGATGTTCTCTTGATTGTTACAAACACATATGTTCTGTTGTTTATTACAAACACATATGTTCTCTTGATTGTTACAAACACATATGCTCTGTTGTTTATTACAAACACATATGTTCTCTTGATTGTTACAAACACATGTTCTGTTGTTTATTACAAACACATATGTTCTCTTGATTGTTACAAACACATATGTTCTGTTGTTTATTACAAACACATATGTTCTCTTGATTGTGTCAAACACATGTTCTGTTGATTGTTACAAGCACATATGTTCTGTTGATTGTTACAAACACATATGTTCTCTTGAATGGTACAAACACATGTTCTCTTGATTGTATCAAACACATGTTCTGTTGATTGTTACAAGCACATACGTGCTGTTGATTGTTACAAACACATATGTTCTCTTGATTGTGTCAAACACATGTTCTCTTAATTGTTACAAACACATATGTTCTCTTGATTGTTACAAACACATATGTTCTCTTGATTGTTACAAACACTGTAGTCCTTTTGATTGTTACCAACACTGAAGTTCTCTTGATTGTTATAAACACACGTTATTTCAATATTCTAGACATTGAGGAAATAAACAACAATTGTGTGACTATCTAATTAAACGTTAATTGAAGAAATGCTTCTTTCAAGTATTAAATAAAGGAAATAAAACGTGTAGTGTTGTAAATCAAAAATTATTTCCATGTTATCAGGCAAAGGTCATTTTGTCCGCACTGGCATAGAGGAAGGTAGCTGACAGCAGGTAACCACTAAAAGAGTCAGTTGGAAAACTCTCATGAAGGTTGTTGGACACACATTTGAGGCCCAGAGGAAAGCCCTGGTAGTGGACAGGCGCAGAAGACGCAGAGAAAACTTTAATAGGCACCAGGCAGACAACGTCTTTGTCTGCATCAGATGTGGAAAAATATGCAGGCGTAACTGGGTCAGCATAGTGTTAGACACTTAGTTTGTATTTTTAGTTATATGGAGAGACGCACCATAGTAGACGCATTTTGAACTTGACTAGTGACTTGACTAGTGACGCTTTGACTTAGTTGGGTTGGAGGCTTCTTGGAGACAGAAAATCAGTTGGTGATAGGATTCCATAGAGTTAGGACGTATTTTATCCACAGACATAGACTGTGGCCTTTTCATGGATTAAACATTTGTTCAACTGTTCAACAGATTTCAGACTCGTCTCTTCCAGTGGCGTAACTAAGGGGGGGATGGGGGGGGGGAAATTTTAAAATCCCCACGGGCCCCCGCCTGGGAGGGGACCCCAAATGGGTCTCTGAAATTTATTTGTAAATACATAAATTAATATATTTGATTGACAAATAGTGTCAACGGGTGTCTTCTTTTTTTCAACATTTATGGATTAAATTTATCAAAAAGACTAGGTCTATGAGTACGTTGACTTTGTTAACATTTAAAAAAAAAATTTTCCACAGAGATGAAAGTCTTTTTTAAAGTTAGTCTTACATTTTAAACTTTGTTGCCACGAATATAACTGCATGATATACAGCGAATTTCAGGTATCTTGTTACCTTTATTAATATTAGATCTAAATGGCGAGTATTATATGGCTACACTAATTAATCTTGAAGCAAATTTTACAGAATCGATTATAACAGATCTAAAAGTTATTCTTAATAATGCTAAAATAGTCCATTATTCGGGTTTGGCGTCTATAATTTCAGAATTAAACTTCACACTCGAGTTATTACCCCTCTATTCATCTTTCCTCAATCCAATGAAAACTCTCTTTTTATTTACATCTAATCCTTTTGCTTTTGCACAAAACATAACCAAAAAACAATGACGTAATATCATATAATATTAGCACATCCTTCCTTTTGAAGTTATTATCACACCCTTCCTTTTAAAGTTCTTAAGAGTGATATCTACCCAATCTATTAAAAAAAAGCAAAAGAAGGTAGTGAATACTATGGATTCCCTGTAATCAAAACAACCAGAAGAAAGAAAAGACTTGATGGGAAGTTGAGTTTTAATGTAGGACTGTCAATAGTACTGCAATTCAAACGTGTTGCGACAGAAGTGCTGAAGAGATTTCATATGGAGATGAAGGGCAGATTCCAAAGGCTGAAAAGAAAATGGATACCTTTGGGTTTCTTCTTGAACCAAGACACCTGTTAGATGAAGACCAGCTTATGACAAACTGTGCTACTTTTTCTGTTTGTATGATGAAATAAATCGCTTTTTCAATGATGTCATTAATGCACGAGCACTTTTCATCAACAAACCAGTAATACAATCACCAATAGACATTTTTAAGGAAACAGGCTTCATATGGTTGTCACGTACACAGTATCTATATTTAGCTCGTCAGCGACCTTGGGAAATTCCTTCACGCGGAGAGCTATGGATGTGATTGGTTTTGAAATATTAATTATTGTAAATTGGGCTGCACTCATTGGTTGGCATTGCAACGAGGTGCGTCGTTAGACACGTGACAACGCTATACCCGGGGAAAGGGTCTAGATTTTTAGTCAGTCTTGTATGGAACATGGAAGTGAGAACATGTACTAGAGTTTTGTATTAGAACTCAATTATATTATTGTGTAGATCTATCATTTTATTCAAGTACATTTAACCATTGTAATTATTTGTGAATAGCTTTTTCAAGTTCTGAATTAAAGTATTTGTTTTAGACGAAGAGAAGTTTTTTCATTGAATATAGTAACATACTTAGATCGATTTAGCGATTGGCAACTTTCCAAATGATCGTATTATCAACTAGATCTAGCTACTTCTATACAATCATCTTATTAAAAGACGATTTCAAGATCCTCGGCTATCACGATCATTGATAGTGTGATATAGATCAAGATAATCTTCAACGTGACATCTATCATAGCATCTGTATAGACCTGTGACATCCGACATCCACTATTGATGATTGTGACAATGGTAATTACGTGTGTTCAAACTTTGCAACCTCTTCCGAATACTGCTAACTCAGGCCACTTCCATTACGTCATGTGAGAGATCATTCTCAAAGCTCAAGTTCATCAAAAGCTATCTCAGGAGCACAATGACACAAGAAAGGCTTATCATGGCATTAATGTCAGTGAAGTCACAAATACTAGAAAGTATCGATGTAGTTGATGTTATAGATTTCTTTGCTGCACAGAATGCACGACGTGAAGCGATATCAATTGAGATTTGTCACGAGCATTATTTAACTAATAAACAAAAGTATTATTCATTAAAAGAGTCTTGATTACTTTTTGTTAAGTTTATTGATATACTGAACCAATTTGATTTGGGGCTTATATATTTTTGCGTACATTATCCAGTCATATGTCGAATGTCAAAATGCAAGGGGCCCCCAAAGAGGTCAATCCCCCCGGGCCCTCAAATCCCTAGTTACGCCCCTGGTTTCAGAGATCGAAAAAGAGAGAGCGGGTCGTGAAATTGCATTGTAACAGAGACTAATTCACTTGCTAAAAAAAGTATGTTAGGTTTATAGTTAAAATGTGGCCCGTTTATTAAAATAATTAAAAAAATAAAGGGGTGTTTCGGCCATAATAAACAATATAAACAATATAAAGCCTATGAACAAATCAACGGCGTAGCCCGGTGTGTACTGCTAGCAAGTATAGTATCCACATTTTGTATTAAACATGGCGGATCACGCACGAACAAACATGCATAGGTTGACCTCAGCACCATTTTGAGGTCACAGCTCTTATATCGTCATGTAGTCACACCAGTTTGTTTTGTTTGTTCGTTTGTTTTATTTCCTGGTTGTTTTTTGTTTGTTTGTAGCCCAAACCTCTCGCAAAGAAACGAGGAGACCGAGGGCACCACACATGATCTGTCGACCGTCTACCTCCATTGCTCTCCGGCCTTAAATTCTCGTCCACTCCATAATATTTCATTCTCAATAGGCCAAAGGGATAGGAGCTCTCTTGCTCAACAAGTTTCGTTTTTAGTTCTGTTCCTAAAAATGTGTCGAGATTAATTTTTAGAACAAGCGCAAAATAAACGCACTTGTAAATTAGCTCACTCAATACTACTCTGCAAATTAGCTCACTCACTACTACTCTGTAAATTAGCTCATACACTACTACTCTGTAAATTTGCTCACTCACTACTACTCTGTAAATTAGCTCACTCACTACTACTCTGTAAATTATCTCACACACTACTACTCTGTAAATTAGCTCACTCACTACTACTCTGTAAATTAGCTCACACTACTACTCTGTAAATTAGCTCATACACTACTACTCTGTAAATTAGCTCACACACTACTACTCTGTAAATTAGCTCATACACTACACCTCTGTAAATTAGCTCATACACTACTACTCTGTAAATTAGCTCACACACTACTTCTCTGTAAATTAGCTCAAGGGCTACTACTGTAAATTAGCTAACACATTACTATTCTGTGATGGTCAAAGCCTATTGATAAGCCATTAAAACAATGAGGTTTGCAGACTACACTGAAACTTAGCAGACGGCAGAGTTGAGATGTGTTCTAATAATAGAGTTGAAGTGTGGAAGCAAGAAGCAAAGTTCAAGGTCTTTGAACGAGACAAAAATGTGTTCTTGCTATGCATGATGCTGTGAGGTACACGGTGTGTGTTGTGTTCCAAAGACTAAAATGTATCAAATGAAATCCTCATATTACAAAATGTATTCCTTATTTCTTCATAAGTTTGTTTATTTTTATGGATTACTTTCTGGTTTGGTCGTCACAGATGTGAGTACACATTAAAAAGTTTAGATTTAACTTTTATGAAACTTTTGTTTGGTCTGAAGAATGAATTGTCGTCTGCTTTCCAAATATCTGGATTTGATTTTGGTCCACGGAGTAGGATAAGTCCTCCCAAAAGTTGATCTGGATTTGAATTAGAACATAAGAGACATAAATGGACATTTTTCAATGGCTGACATAAAAAAACTTCATTTTATGAGCTTTTGTAATTGTTTAAAATGGTTGAAATAGAATACACATAAGAACTGAGTGTTCGAGATCTATAACCGCCCTTACTTTCAACAACTTGTCAGGTGCACATCAGAGTTCGGTGAACTCAGGGGCCCCCTAAAAAATCTCAAAATTTAAAAATCTCTTCATCACGATTCAAACCCAGGACCCTCAGTTCGGAAGCCAAGCGCTTAACCACTCAGCCACTCCGTCCCCTGTAAAATGTTGTATTTTTATGAAACGAAAATGTTTGCATAGTAAATATTTAAAAATAAACTTTTCGTTTTCAGAAAAGAAAAAAAGGAGCCCTTGCATCAAAGATCTATAATATCATGATATCGGATATTCAATATATTTTCTAGTTTTTGAGATCAGACGGGACAGATGGACGGACAGACAGACCAGACAAAACTTATAGCTGCTATTCCCATTTCGAAGCCCACTAAAAATATGTTTGATTGGAAATATTTTTATAAATTGATTTTGTTTAACTCAACTTTCGTGC